GTAAGTCGAGGACTACCTGTACAGTATTGTTGCAAGGCTGAGATGGAATAGGTGCTCATGTTGAATCAATGCTATAATCTGTTTGTTTTGTGATGTGAACGTCACGCAAGTATCTCTCCTCTGAAACACACCCACAGCCACACCTCTTAGAAATGGAATTTTTAATATTGTGCCAAGTTATGACTAAGTGATTGTAAAGCTCACGCCTTGAAATACAGTAGCTGTACGACAATATAACAATCAGGATCTTGCCTTGACTTATTGATCAGTCTATGCTTCCTTTTGGGGAATACTTCTGCAATGATTTCCCACTTTTATGGGACTCCCTTCTCTCTCTCCCTTGGGGTTATTCCGTTTCCTTACCATCTATAAGGCTTTTGTGTATTTGGGGCTCTCTGCTAGCGTAGACTTACATGCTTGTGCTATCTTTGAACCATGTTCTCTAGAAGATCTATCGGGTGAAATGCTCCTGGTTCGCTCTAGTTCAGGCCAGGAGTGAAATGCTCCCGGTTCAGACTGGATTGCCTGATCCGGTAGCGATGGCGGCGAGCGGTTCGGAGAATCGGTAGCAAAAATCCCTCCCCACCCCCATGCCCAGCTGAGCCGCGCAATCATCAGAGGCTTTTTATTTTATTTTTAAAAGCATTTTTTCTACAACCTCTTCAGCCGAAAAAATGCTTTTAAAAGTAAAAAAAAAAAAAAGCCTCTGCCGATCAGGCAAGTCAGCTGGGATCGTCAGAGGATTTTAAAAGCATTTTTTAACAACCTCTTTGGCCGAAGAGGTTGTAGAAAAAATAGTTTTAAAAGTTAAAAAAAAAAAAGTTGGCCATGCCCACTCAGTCATATTACACCCCTCCAGCCATGCCCACAGAACCGGTAGTAACAAATTTTACATTTCACCACTGGCTCAGGCGAATCGGTAGTGATAAAAACTACTGGTTCAGGCAACCCAGTAGTAAAAAAAAAGCTACTGGTTCAGTCAAACTGGTAGTTAAAAAAAAGCTACTGGTTCATCCAAACCGGTATTTCCGACAATCAGCTGTGCCACGGGGTTTAGCTCAGTGGTGGGTTTCAAAAATTTTTACTACCGGTTCTGTGGGTGTGGCTTGGTGTGCGTGGCATGGCTTGGTGGGCATGGCACGGGAAGGATACTGTAAAATCTCCATTCCCACCCCACTCCAGGGGAAGGATAATGTAAAATCTCCATTCCCCCCCCCAATCCAGGGGAAGGTTACTGCAAAATCTCCATTTCCTCCCAATCAGCTGGGACTTGGGAGGCAGAGAATAGATGGGGGCGGGGCCAGTCAGAATTTTTTCTACCGGTTCTCCGAACTACTCAAAATTTCCGCTACCGGTTCTCCAGAACTGGTCAGAACCTGCTGAAACCCACCTCTGGTTTAGCTTTGCTAGAAAGCAGGAAAGCAGTGCTTTCTAGCGAGGCTAAATTGCACCGCACAGCCGATCCCTCCCCCCCCCGTTGTTCTATTTACCTTCCCAAGCCTCTTTTTGGTGTGTACTGTGAATGCGTGCGCAGCAAGCAAACCGGTAGCAAACCGGTTCAGATTTCACCACTGAGATCTCTGTAACCTTGGGACTTTGGTCCTTGGCTTCTCTGGAGGCAGGAGAGCAGGGATTTGCTGTAAACTGCTAGCTTGTAATGAAGAGCAAACCTCAACTTGAGAGAGATTTCACCATCCATAAATGTTGGAGTATTATTGCAGTGAGGTCGAAGTGCAAAGCGTAGGGAACTTTTGATGCATGTCATTCATGAGGAGGGCAAGTGGTTTTATTAGTAATCCTCATCAGTGATTATTCAAAGTTACAAGGTGCTGAACAAAGAAAACTGGTGACGGGTTAACGAAAAGAAGGACTAGGGGAGACATGATAGCAGTGTTCCAATATCTAAGTGGTTGCCATAAAGAAGAGAAAGTCAAGCTATTCTACAAAGCATCTGAAGGCAGGACAAGAAGCAATGGATGGAAACTAATCAAGGAGAGAAGCAACCTAGAACCAAGGAGAAATTTCCTGACATTTAGAACAATTAACCAGTGGAATGACTTGCCTCCAGAAGTTATGGATGCTCCAAGTTTTTAAAAACAGATTGGACAACCATTTGTCTGCAATGGTGTAGGGTTCCCTGTCTGAGCAGGGGATTGGACTAGAAGACCTTTAAGGTCCCCTCCAACTCTGTTATTCTATCCTGAGATTTCTAGCCATATAAATCAGGCTTTTGGCAACTGATATGCATTTACAATGATCGCAGCACCCTGCAGTCACACGATCACCATTTGCAACCTTCCCAGCTACCGTATTTTTCGGAGTATAAGATGCACCTTTTTCCCCCCAAAAAAGAGGGTGAAAATCTGGATGCGTCTTATACTTGGAATGTAGCCCCGCCCAGCTTCTCAAACGGAGGTTTCAGTGACTGAAAACAGCATCAGAAACAAAGGTTCAGAAAAAAAGCCCCCAAACAGAGCTTCAGAAAAAAAGCCCCCAGAAAAAAAGCCTCCAAACAGAGCTTCAGAAAAAAAAGCCTTTTTTCCTGAAGCTCTGTTTCAGAGGCTTTCAGAGGCAGAAAAAAAAGTTTTTTCTGAAATGGAATTTCAAAAGTTTCAGCAGCAGAAAAAAAAGCAAAAAAAAAAAAAAAAAGCAAGGCACAGAACTCACAACCAATGAACCTCTTGCTAAAATTCACCTCTGGGAACAGCTGATTGGGGGTATTCTGGGATGCTGATCCACCCGCCAATCAGCTTTTTTCTTATTTTCCTCCCCAAAAACTAAGGTGCATCTTATACTCTGAAAAATACGGTAAGTTTGGAGAAGGAAAGTCAATGGGGAAACTGGCAGGAAGCCACAAGTGACGGTCGCTTATGTCACACTTATACCATCCACGGTGAGTTGCTTAAGGACCGCCATTGTAAGGTGAGTACAACATGTACTCTTTTCACTTTATGACCGCATTGCTTAGCGGTCTCTACAGCTCTCAATTACCTGTAGAGATAGTCCTCAACAACCATTCATTTAGTGACCATGTAAAGCTACAATGGCACTGAAAAGATTGAGATATAACTCACTGCATCCCCATGGTCACCGATCAAAATTCAGGCGCTTGGCAACCAGATCACTAGGGTCGCATGATAATCTTTTGTGACCTTCCCAAATGGCTTCCAATGAGCAGAGAGACACTGGGAGAAGGTGGGTTTGCTGAATGACCATATAATTCATTTAACAACTGCAGTGATTTGCTTAAGAACCATGGCCAAAAAAAAAAAAAAGGTTGTAAAACTAGGTACAACTCAGTTAAGAAACACCTTAACAACAGAAATTTTGCTCCCAAGTTTGGTCATGAATGTATATATGATATCACACCTATTTGTGTGATTTATACAATGCCATCATGACATTCAAGACTTTGCTGTGGCTTTCAGTGGGGGCCCATGCCAGGATAATCCTGGTTAATCAAATTTCCCTTTATTTTCCTAAGATCACTCTCCCAAACTACCCACGTCACATAATCATAATCATAAGTTTATTTATCAAGCATATATAAGATAACAGGTAAAAGTATAAACATAATTTGAATATATGAAAGAAGTACATCCATAGCAGGGGTGAAATGCTCCGAAGTCTGCTACTGGTTTGCTTTGCTACCAGTTCGCTGCGCACACACATGTGCAGTGCATGCCAAACCCACTCTTTGCGTGCATGCGCACCGCAAGCACTACCGCGTAGCACTGAAAAAGGAGGATTAAGAAGCCTTTACTAAGGAAAGTAGAACAGTGAGGGGGGGAACAGCTGTGCCGCGCGATTTAGATTCACTAAAGCAGGGTTTCCTGCTTTCTAGTGAATTTAAATCGCGTGGCACAGTTGATCGTCAGAAATACTGGTTTGTCCGAACTGGTAGCATTTTTTTTACTACCAGTTCGGGCGAACCGGTCTGAACTGGTAGCATTTCACCCCTGATCCAGGAGTTTCTTAACAGATCCCTTGTGTCCTTTGGCACTAAGGAAAGTTGGCAAAAAATCTACCAGGAAAATCTTCTGAGTAAACAAGAAATGAGGGCATGATTTAGGGCAGGGCACTTTGGGGGAAAAAAAGCAACTGGAGACACAACAGCTCTCAAAGACAGAGGTGGCGTGGTTGAGACCATAAAATGCACACGAAAGCCACTCTAAAGGAGAATATTTGTAGCTCAGGGTTGAAAGGAGGGGTGCTTGGTGCTCCCTGAGCTTTCTTGCAGCTGTTTCATTACCCAAACTAGGTAACATCAGTGTACTGATTACATTACCTAGTTGGGTAATGCAAGAAAATAACCAAGCTCAGAGAGCAGCAAGGCCTTTCCATCCAAAAGGAGCCTGGTGATGCAGTGGACTAAACTACTGTTAAAGTAGTATTTAGCTGCCAGCTGCCTGCAATTACAGCGAGTTCAATTCTCACCAGGCTCAAGGTTGACTCAGCCTTCCATCCTTCCGAGGTAGGTAAAATGAGGACCCGGTTTGTGGGGCCAATAAGCTGTCTTTGTATAAAAAAGAACACCATTTTGGGGGAGGGGGCAAAAGCCCTACTAAGCAGGTATATACCAAGTATGAAGGCTATTGCTTAAAAGCATTGTAAGCTGCCCTGAGTCTCCAGAGAAGGGCGGCATATAAATCAAACTAATAAATAAAATAAATAAATACAATTATTCTTGCACCCCATCATTTCTCCCCTTCAGGAAAAATTAAATGAAGGGGTGTGTGTGTCATGTTCTTTGCATGTATGCACCCAAGCGGGCATCTTGCCCCAAATAAAGAGTTTGAGTCAGACACTTTCTTAAAGAAAACTTTTCTGATCCTCTCCTTGATCGCAATTGATTAAGAAGTGGTGTGGCTTCAACATGCAATGAACTTTTGACATATCGCCTAGGCAACCAACCCTAGGTTTGCTAAACAACACTCTCTGAGTCACAAAAGAACATTGGTGACACACAATAAGGGCGTCACAACGTGGAACCCGGCACAATGTGAAAGGCTTCTCCTACTACAGTTTCAGCTTGCTGCAGTAGGACAACAACACAGAAGTACACAAAAAATTCCAACCAACCATTCACAGAGGGAAAATTACCAAGGTTTATGACGTAAGGGCTCTTGGGTTAAATCGGTCACTGCTTTCAACACGCAACTATCACACACGCACAAAGTATTCAGTGGAAGGTATGCTTGCATCAGAAGCCATTATCAAACCCGAAAGGTTTGAGGCAGTGGTGAAATGCTACCGGTTCGGACCGATTCAGCCGAACTGGTAGCAATGGCGGCGGGTGGTTCGGAGAACCGGTAGCGACGGCAGCGTGAGAGGCTCCACCCACCTGCCCAGTTGTCATTACTTCCAGGTTTTAACCAGGAAGTAACCTGTTTTTTACCCTCTGCACATGTGCAGAAGTGTTTGCACACGCGCAGAGGGTCCGTGAATGCACATGACACGCGGGCGCACTTCCGAACCGGTAGGGAAGCTAAGTAGATTTCACTCCTGGTTTGAGGGCAGATGGTTTGCACTCTTGAGCTGCTCACAACAAGCAAGCCTGTGCCTTTATTTGGTGCTGAGATGTGCCAAGTGCCCACAGCCATTCCTTAGGTCAGGAGTGCCAAACTCGTGTCGTCACATTGTTGTCACATGACTTTTTTCCCTTTCGCTAAAATGGGGGTGGGCGTGGCCAGCATGTGATGCATCTGGCCCGCGGGCTGCGAGTTTGACACCCCTGCCTTAGGTCAATATTTCTGAACTGTGGCAACCTTAAGACGTCAACCTTCAACCTGGTTGACATCTGTGAACGTCTTCCCCAAAGTCTTCTTTAAAATGTGGCCTCCTCATGCTGACTGGAGAATTCTGGGAGTTGAAGTCTACACCAGTGGTGGATTGCTTCCGGTTCAATCAGCAGGAGGCTCCGCCCACCCCTCCAGACGTCATAAATGATAATCTGCACATGCGCAGAAGCTTCTGCACATGCGTCCACAGCCCCATTGTGAACCGGTAGTAAAGATAAGTAGAACCCATCCCTAGTCCACACATCTTCAAGTTGTCAAGGTTGAGAAACACTATTCTAGCTCCTAATTTCCAGATGTTCAATAGTGCATCCGGAGTCAAACTAGAGGATGCAGTCTGTAGGGCCAGAAGTAACTTGGGCTGTTCCCCTTGTGGCTTGCCTGTGGCTCCTCATGAACATCTGGAGAACACCTGGGAAGCAACAAAAGGCTCAGATTGGTATATCCCTTTCTATGTTCTTAATTCAGGAACTATAACAGAATATCAGTGTTGGAAAAGGCCTTGGAGGTCTTCTAGGCCAACCCCCTGCTCAAGCAAGAAACCTATACTACAGGTAGTCCTCAACTTACAACAGTTCATTAAGTGACGGTTCAAAGTTAAAACAGCATTGAAAAAAAAGTGACTTAAGACCGTTTTTCATAGTTACAACCTTTCCAACATCCCCATGATCATGTGATCAAAATTCAGATGCTTGGCAACTGGTTCATATTTATGACCATTGCTGTGTCCCAAGGTCATGTGATCCTCTTTGACGACCTTCCGACAAGCAAAGTCCATGGGAAAGCCAGATTCTTATAACAACCGGGTTACTACCTTATCCACTCCATTGATTCACTTAACAACGGTGACAAGAAAGGTCATAAAATGGGGCCAAACTCACTTAACCATGTAAGAACAGAAATGTTGCGCTCAGTTGTGGTTGTAAGTCGAGGATTACCTGCATTTCAGACAAATGGTTGTCCAATCACTTCTTTAAAAATCTCCAGTGTTGGAGCAGCCACAATTTCTGGAGGCAAGTCGTTCCATCGATTCATCATTCTAACTGTCAGGAAATTTCTCCTTAGTTCTAGTTGGTTCTCTCCTTGATTAATTTCTGTCCACTGCTGCTTGTTCTGCCTTCAGATGCTTGATTCATAACAACAGCTGGTACATTTGCAAGAGATAAACCGGGTCCAGACCAGTGGTGGTATTCAGCCGGTTCGATCCGGTTCAAGCGAACCTGTAGGGGCGACGGCAGGATGCCCCACCCACCCATGCGGACATCATGACCAGTGTGGGTTGCCCCTGGTTCGGACCAGTTCACAAGAACCAGTAGTAAAACCAGCAGGAGGCCCCTCCCATCCCCCCCCAGATGTCGTCATCAGTGATCTGTACATGCGCAGAAGCACAATCCTGTTGCAAACCGGTAGTAAAGGTAAGTAGAACCCACCCCTGGTCATGATGTTCCATTTTTTTCATGTTTTCAAGGCTCTGCGTGTGCACACATTTGCAAACCGGTAGGGAAGGTAAGTGAATACCACCCTGGTCCAGACTCTTACCATGTGCACTGATACCAGATTCAAATCAGTGTGCTGCTTAAAATAGATGACACTAATGCATTTTACAGATCCTTTGTAAACTGCAGCAAAGCAATAGCACTTAGACTTATATACCGCTTCACAGCTCCTCTTTAAGTGGTTTACAGAGTCACCATATTGCTCCCAACAATCTGGGTCCTCATTTTACCAATCTCAGAAGGATAATAGAAGACTGAGTCAACCTCTAGCTGGTGAGGATCGAACTCCTAGCAGTCGGCAGAATTAACCTGCAATACTGCATTCTAATCACTGCGCCCCACCACGACTCTTTACAAGAATAGGTGGCTTTCTGGTAAATAAAAAGCAAGCAATGAAGAGGGGTATCCCGTGGAGACAAAAGGGGACAAAAAAACCCCCATTGTGATGTTGTGATGCAAATATTTTCTCTTTTGTGCTTGCATCATTGATTCTACAGGCAAGTATACAAAAAGTGAACAACGTGGAGAATGACAACCATGTTATTATGTGATATATAAGTTGAATTAATTAAATAATAATAATAATAATAATAATAATAATAATAATAATAATAATAATAATAATAATAATAATGATGTCCTGATGTACGTTTTGACTTTTTTCCCCCAATGTGGTGGTTTGTTTTGGACACCTCTGACAATGTGGTAAGGCCACACTTGGAATATTGCATTCAGTTTTGGTCGCCACGATGTAAAAAAGATCTTGAGACTCTAGAAAGAGTGCAGAGAAGAGCAACAAAAATGATTAGGAGACTGGAGGCTAAAACATATGAAGAACAATTGCAGGAACCGGGTATGTCTAATTTAATGAAAAGAAGGACTAGGGGAGACATGATAGCAGTGTTACAATATCTCAGGGGCTGCCACAAAGAAGAGGGAGTCAAGCTATTCTCCAAAGCACCTGAGGGTAGGACAAGAAGCAATGGGTGGAAACTAATCAAGGAGAGAAGCAACTTAGAACTAAGGAGAAATTTCCTGACAGCTAGAACAATTAATCAGTGGAACCACTTGCCTCCAGAAGTTGTAAATGCTCCAACACTGGAAGTTTTAAAGAAGAGATTGGACAACCATTTGTCTGAAGTGGTGTAGGGTTTCCTGTCTAAGCAGGGGGTTGGACTAGAAGACCTCCAAGATCCCTTCCAACTCTGTTATTCTGTTCTGTTCTGTTCTATTCTGTTCTATTCTATTCTATTCTATTCTATTCTATTCTATTCTATTCTATTCTATTCTATTCTATTCTATTCTATTCTGTTCTGTTCTATTCTATTCTATTCTATTCTAATAAGATCTTTCACAACAGCTCCTAGGGTGTTTCAAATTCATAGTTTGGAGGCGGCGTTAACAATGTGGATTCCTGCATTGAGCTGCAAGTTAGCTGCCCTCAATACCTCTTTCATCTAGATCAGGGGTCCCCAAAGTTGGCAGCTTTAAAACTTGTGGATTTTAATTCCCAGAATTCTCCTATGCTGGCCAGCTATGCTGGCTGGAGAATTCTGGGAGTTGAAATCCACAAGTCTTAAAAGCTGCCAAGTTTGAAGACCTCTGACCTAGATGATTACATATATAAATAGCTTCATCCTTTCAGAGACGAGGGGACAGATTGATCGACTGACTTCTGGTAAAACCATTCTATTTCCCACAGCGGCTTTCCCTGGAGTCTTGGAGCTGAACGAAATTTAACCCAGAGAAATGCAAAGTTCAGAGGAAACTGAAATCGAATGTGCCGATTTAGAACGAGGGATGCCAGAGTTAAGAACAGCCTGTTTGTGTGAAAAGGATTTTGAAACCATAACTCATGATGGCTTGAACGTGACTCAGAAGTGTTCTGTAAGCTAAACGGTCAAATGTAATTTTAGGTTGCCTTGAATTTTTTGTCTCTTTGTAGTCTGAGGTGGATTTCACATAATTTTACCTCAGGTTCGCCGCGCACCAAAAATGTGAGTGTGTGTGCCTTCTGCACATGCGCTTTGCTCACGCGCGCAGCTTGTACGCATGCACGGGGCTTAGAAAACATGACTAAATAGGACTGCATAGCACCCAGATGGGTGGGCAAGCCCACCCACAGTCGCCACTACCAGTTCGCCTGTAACCGGACTGAACCGTTTGAATACTACCACTGTTCCTAATCTTTTCCTGCAGGTGTAAGGACTGCTTTTTCTGTTTTTTGGGTCAACCTAGTGTTGAACCACCGGTGGCAATAGGAATTGATCAACTGGCTTTTTTCCCCGAGCCTTCTAAGAGGGCTAAGAGAGAGGGATTGGCCCAAAGTCACCCAACTGGCTTTCATGCCTCAGGCAGGACTAGAACTCAGAGTCCCCTGGTTTCTAGGCTAGTTGCTCTAACCACCAGACCAGTGTTTCTTAACCTTAGCAACTTTAAGATGCGTGGACATCTAGCAGAGATGACTGCTAAATTGACTGCTTTGATTAAAGAAAAAAAAAACACAATTACTTTTATTTCTACTTGGAAACCACTTCTGGACTTTGTGCTTGAGGTAGGGGGAAAAAATGAAACTTTGATTTTGGGTTTTACCGATTAGATAGTCCCAAAGGTGCTTTTTTCAAGAGGCAACTGGACTTTCCGGTTTTTCTTTAAAGACGTTTCACTTCTCATTCAAGAAGTGGATGAGCTGAAGAAGCTTTCTTGGATAAGAAGCGGAACGTCTTCAAAGAAAGAGCAGAAAGTCCAGTTGCCTCTTGAAAAAAGCACCTTTGGGACAACCATGACCTGGATGACTGAGAATCTCCATAGACATTTACTGATTACTTTTATTTACTTTCTTTACGTTTATTTAATTTGTATACCGCCCTTCTCCTGAAGGACTCAGGGCGGTGAACAGCCAACAATAAAATACATACATACAAAATTTAAAAAACAGAACTAAAATCGAATTAAATAATTTGGCCCAGACAGATTAAAACCCCAATCAATTTAAAACAGATTTAAACTTTGAAAATTAAAAGATATTGAAAATATTAAAATATTAAAATTGTTTAAAAATTGTTTTAAAAGAGGGAGAAAGTTCGGCCAGGCCCGCCTGATGAAATAAGAAGGTCTTTAGAGCGCAGCGGAAGGTGCGCAGATCCGGGATCCTCCGTATCTCCGGGGGGAGCTCGTTCCAGATAGTAGATGCCCCCACAGAGAAGGCTCTCCCCCTGGGGGCCGCCAGTCGACATTGTTTGGCTGACGGCACCCGGAGGAGCCCCTCTCTATGAGAGCGTACCAGCCGGTGGGAGGCTATTGGTGGTAGTAGATGGTCCCGCAAGTACCCAGGTCCTGAGCCATGGAGTGCTTTAAAGGTTGTAACCAAAACCTTGAAGTGCACCCGGAAGACCACCGGGAGCCAGTGCAGCTCGCGCAGGAGGGGTGTTACATGGGAGCGCCATTTCGCTCCCATTACCACCCGTGCGGCCGCACTCTGCGCCAGTTGGAGCCTCCGGATGCTCCTCAAGGGGAGCCCCATGTAGAGAGCGTTACAATAGTCCAGGCGGGAGGTGACGAGGGCATGAGTGACCGTGCGTAAGGGGTCCTGATCCAGAAAGATAGGTTTGTTGTTATAGAAAAAGCTAGTTTATACTATTATGTAAAAGTAAAAAGCTGAGGTTTTATGCTATTATCTTATTTTACTGCACCAAAAGGAGTTGGAAGTCAATGTCTTTTCTTTCTCTCCCCCCCTTTCCCTACACTTTTCCCTTCCCTTTTCCCTCCCCTATTTTCCTATTTTATTTTGTATGATAAACTAATAAAAAAAAAAAGATCTGTGGACATCAACTCCCAGAATTCCCTACCAAGCCAGGCTGATTGGGGAATTCTGGGAATTGAAGTTTGCACATTTTAGTTGCCTATGAGGAGAGCCTAAGAGATTTGGAGAGAGCTAATAACAGAATAACAGAGTTGGAAGGAACCTAGGAGATCTTCTAGTCCAACCCCCTGCTCAGGAACGAAACCTTACACCAGAGATCTTCAAACTTGGCAGCTTTAAGACTTGTGGACTTCAACTCCCAGAACTCTCCAGCCAGCTAAGCTTAGCTGGCTGGAGAGTTCTGGGAGTTGAAGTCCACAAGTCTTAAAACTGCCAAGTTTGAAGACCTCTGCCTTACACCATTCTTCTTAAACACCTCCAGTGATGGAGCATCCACAATATCTGGAGGCAAATCATTCTGCTGATTAATTGTTCTCACCATCAGGAAATTTCTCTCTGCTAGGTTGCTTCTCTCCCTGATTAGTTTCCATCATTGCTTCTTGTACCTGCCTCGTCCTTCAGTTATCCTTGTGAATCACAGGTTTTTACAAGTGAAATGCTGATTGAAGAGATGAGATAATCCTTTTCGATGACGTAAAGGTGTTTTGAAATATCATCCTCAAATGCGAAATATGGGGTAACAGATTTCAGGTATCAGAAAGTAGATTCCACTGGAGTTCAGGGAAACAGTTCCTAAGTTAGTCCTGTTCTAGAACAATCTGAATTGGTGAATTCTGTCACTGAAAGGGTTCATTCAGAAGCTGAATAATTGTCTGTTGGTACGCTGAAATTGTCGATCAAAAGGTCGGCAGTTCAGCGGTTCGAATCCCTAGTGTTGCGTAATGGGGTGAGCTCCCGTTGTCCCAGCTTCTTCCAACCTAGCAGTTCGAAAGCACCTAAAAATGCAAGTAGAAAAATAGGGACCACCTTTGGTGGGAAGGTAACAGCGTTCCGTGCGCATTTGCCGTTTAGTCATGTCAGCCACATGACCACGGAGACATCTTCAGACAGCGCTAGCTCTTCGGCTTTGAAACGGAGATGAGCACCGCCCCCTAGAGTCAGGAATGACTAGCACAGATGTGCGAGAGGAACCTTTACCTTTGCCTAATGTTTTAAAATGGACTGAGTGGGGTGACTGGAATTACAGGTAGCTCTTGACTTACAACCACAATTGAGCCCAAAATGTTGTTAAGTGAGACGTTTGTTAAGTGGGTTTTGTCCCATTTTACGACCTTTCTTGCCACCATTGTTAAGTGAATCACTGCAGTCGATAAGTTAGTAACCTGGTTGTTAAGTGAATCTGGCTCCCCATTTGATTTTGCTTGATCACATGACCTTGGGACACTGCAACCGTCATAAATGTGAGACAATTGTCAAGCATCTGAATTTCGATCACATGACCATGGGGATGCTCCCACGGTTGTAAGTTACAACATTTCATTTAGTGACGGTTCACTAGTTAAAATGGCACTGAAAAAATGGACTTATGACTGTTTTTCACACTTACAGGGTAGTGGGGAATGGAAGGATTTATATTCCTTGCAGACAACTGGTCATCCAATCAGAGCTGAAGAAGCTTCTTGGATGAGAAGCGAAACGTCTTCAATGAAAAAACAAGAAAGTCCAGTTGCCTCTTGAAAAAAAGCACCTTTCGGACAAACTTGACCTGGATAACTGAGAATCTCTACAGACTTTTAGCTATATAATTTGCGATGAACACCCTTTGAATGGTGTGGGAGTAGGAATGGATTTCCAGAGGAGGAAAAATTGCAGACTACAGGAACCAGGAGCACTACTCAGGTGACCCTGAGGACACAAATAAACCTCCAAGTGCTTTAACGACCCTCTAAAAGGATGCAAATGACCAGCTATCTGCAAGGAATATACCGTATTTTTCCCACTATAAGATGCACTTCCTCCCGCCAAAAAAAGTAGATGGAAATGTCTGTGCATCTTATAGAGCAAATATTGCAGCAGGTGGGAGGGGGGGGTCACTGCTGCCTGTCACTGCTGCTGCCATTAGCTGCCGCCGGGGAACGCCGGAGCCTTCGCTGCTGAGCAGTTGATCAGTGGTTGGATTGGCCTCCTGTAATACTGCTGATCAGATGTTCTAGGCAGCGGGGATCACCGCCGCTCGCCGCCATTTGCTGCCGCCGTTTGCCACCGCCATTCGCTGATAGGTGGCAGCAATTGGCAGCAGGGGGCAGTGAACAGTGGTGGTGGCAATCGGCGGCAGTGATTGGTGGCGTTAGGTGGCAGCAATCAGCGGCTGTGGTGACGGTGGGTGGCGGCAAGCAGCAGCAGGCAGGGCAAACGGTGGTGACAGTGATGCAATTCCCACTGCCTAGAACAGCTGATCGACGGTATTCTGGGAGGCCAATCCAACTGCTAATCAACTGCTCGGCAGCAAAGGCTCCAGCGTTCCCTGCCGGCAGCAGCAGCTCACCTCAGTTGACTGGTGGTGAGCGCAATGGAGTGGAGCTCTGATGAGCCACATGCTGGGGCTGCGATAACATGCTGAAGCTGACCAGGCTGTTTGCTGTTTGCTGCAAAGATGCTAGCCAGATGAATACCGGTTGGATGTTGGGAGACAGAGGCAGATTTTTTTGTTCTTGTTTTCCTCCTCTAAAGCTAATGTGCATCTTATGGTCTGGTGCGTCTTATAGTGCAAAAAATACGGTAAACCCTTCCATTCCCCACTATCCTGTCACTGAAGAAGCTTCTTGGATGAGAAGTGAAATGTCTTCAAAAGAAAAAACAAGAAAGTCCTCCTGAAAAAACACCTTTGGGTCATTTAACAATTGTCTCACTTAACATCAGAAATATTAGGCTCAGTTGTGGTCGTACGTTGAGGACTATCTCTATAAACAGGACTATGCCAAGATAGAAACAAGCGAATGATAATGATGAGGGATATTATTTGACCACTGAAGGTGGAAAACCAGTATACAGAAATATTTTGAATACCGGGTGAAGATTCAGAAAATGTTGAAAGACTAGAAGAGGACAGGAAATGTAAGCCTTGCAATTTCTTTGGAACTACTTGTAAGCATCTTCTGTTCCTGGAAATTTTCACCAAAACCCTTAAGCAAAAGAATCTCAAATGTCAGCAGTATATTTCACAG